ATATTGATTAGTGGTTCCAAATTAACAGTAACTACTGCAGTAGGGAACTGACACAAAAAGATACACTCTTTCCAAATAACTATTCTTTTCATTCGGCGCATTTGAAGTTTTTTATACACATGACTATGTAGTTATCACATTATTATTACAATTGTACTTTTATGGTAACATGGGGCGTTACATAGGCAGGCTAATAATCAGGACTTGAAGGAATGCAAGTGTAATAAAAACATTATTAGTGCCGTTTGCACAATGAGTGCAGTGTACAATACATAGGCAAAGCATTAAAAAGAGAATACAATTTTATATAGCATTTACAAATTTCCTTTACAATTCTATTTTGATCAATATTTTACATTTTGATCACTGACCACATCTGCTATCACTTTTAACCTCTAACATTTAGGCCAAACAAGTCCTTGCCTTGGAGGCACACTCCACTGGGGAGAATCAGATAGCTGAGAGCAGCTATATCATTACAAAATGACCTTTTATATGAAACTTGCATAAAAACAAATGATTGATAAAAAAATATTTACAGATTAATTGGGTGTACACTCAGATCCTGTGGCCAGAATGGCCTTGTCACTTAATTGTATACATGCTGACTTATCAGCATAGTTAAACACAGACAATTCTACATAAAATGGAAGACATACAAAAGACAAAATTACGGTACTTTAACGTGGCTGAACTACTTTTCAAATCACATTAAATATACATACTGTATATTCCTTACTAATATATTTATTAAAACATTTGAATAAATAGTATCCCAGACTGTGATTCCAAGAGAAAACCAAATTAAACACAGAGATACTTTCATTTAGTCATTTTTGCAGTGTCTGGTATGGATCCAGGTGACGTTTCCTTCACGTTTTGTAAACTGTACATGAAATAGAAGCTGTATTGTGTCTCCAACCATTTCCTATATATACAGTATAAATGTCACTTAACAATCCACAAGTCACCTGGCTTTAGTTTATAAGATCCTTTGAAACTGTTAATTTTTTTACCAGTAGTCATTTCATCGTTGACCTTGCCAGCGTATTACGTCTCATCCCAGCATAATCTTTTCATGGGAAAGAGAAAGGGAGGGGGAAATCTACACAGAGCTACAGGACACACAAAAGATGTAGGACTAAATTGCCCAGCACACCCATTCACACAATTATCTTGCTACATCACTTAAATCAGGGCTTGAAAAAGCCACTCTCCCGCTCGCCAAATGCGAGGAGAAATTCCTCTGTGGCGAGCGGCGAACAGAGAGCACAGATGAAGCATGGAGCGACTGCACCTTCGCTCCAAACCTCATTGTGAAGCCGAGTTCTGGTTTACAACTTCCGGTTTCTGGCTTCTGCGGCACCGCCGCTGAGGGGACAGGTGCAGGAGAGGTCCGCTCTCCTCCGCTGAGAGGAGACACCCTCTCCACCGCCGAGGGGGGAACTCGGAGGGACTATGAGTAAGTACTGTATACAACATGTCATATCACTATAATGGAGTACAGCGGAGCTGGGATATACATTACTCAGTAATGTGTATCCCAGCTCCCCTGTACTCCATTATAGTGATATGACATGTATACAGTAATCGTTACTGTATACATGTCATATCACTATAATGGAGAACAGGGGAGCTGGGATATACATTACTGTGTACAGTTTTATATTTTGGACTCTTTATTCTAAAGAAAAATGTAATTTCATAAGCTTTAAGGGGGCATGGTTGGGGGTGGGCCGGGGGGGTGTTTGGGGGAAAACCTGGGCAAGGTTGGGTGGGGCAACTGGTGGAGAGTAAGTTTTGTGACTGACTGGTAGGTCTGGACTCAAAAATTTAACCCCTGACTTAAATGTTTCCCATTTTGTACCACCACATGCAAATCATTCTCTCACTTTCTTTTAACTCTCTTCAAAATTTCCCTGCTTAAGTTAGTTTTACCTCCCTAAATTCTGCTTTCCCTATTTTGTACTCTGATATCCCTTAAATCACATGTACTGTAATCCCGTACTCAGCTTACTCCAGCTCTTTTGATCAGATGGACAACCATAGTGCACATCCCATCTTCCTTCTCTGATCACATTAAAAAGTATTAGGCTTGAGCCAGGGCCAATAATTATATTATTTCTATATAGTTTGACTCTCATTTCTCTGTTTTGGCTTTTTCCCTTGTTTTAGAATTTACTAGTTGTGGTGCCTTGCCCTAAATTCATTCCACAACTTAACATCAAAATTTCCCTTATGTCTAAAGTTACATTGTCTGTCACCCATCATCCATCCTGATGAAATAGATAGCTGTGTCTCTGTTCCTCTAGCTGTTAAATCTGCATGATTATTAGTCCCTGTGGACTCGGTAACCCTGTTACTCATTGTGGATCTCTGTCCACTTTAACCATTTATCTAGGGGTTCAGTATAGGAGGAGCCACACCTTCGGTTTATATATTCTCTAGCACTCCTCTCGCACTGCACATTTTCTGAGGGTACCCTCTTAAGTTTCATTCCCTTAATTAGTTAAATGCCCATAATGACTAGCCAATCCATCTCTAGTACAGCAGATGTGTGCTTCAGATAACCTGTTAACCTGCACTATTCTTCCTTTTCTTACTCCAATGGACAGTAGACAGTGAAAGCATAACATATAATCACTAATCAATACAGTTCGATTAGGGGGAGTGAAATAGGTACCCTGTGCACTGAGCATGCCTTAACAATCAAGGAAGGCTGATATCTCAACTGTAAGCAAAAGGGCTTACCTCAGCCAGCTGGTTATCAGGAATTCCCAGATCATCTCATTGTGGATTCTCAGGCTCACCTGTAAATCCCCTCCTAGGCAAAGCTTGCAATCTGTCCTGGAAATATTATCAATAGGCAACTCCTATCCTCATATTGATTAGTGGTTCCAAATTAATAACCACTGCAATAGGAAACAGACACAAAAAGATACACTCAGCTTCTTTTCAAATAACTTTTCTGTTTATTCAGCACATTTTAAGTTTTTTATACAAGTGATTATATAGGTATAACTTGAATAATACAATTGTACTTTCAAGGGGCATTACATAGGCAGGGTAAGTTCTAAACAGGACTTGAAGGAATGCAAACATAATCAAAACATTATTAGTTCCGTGTGTAAAATGAGTGCAGTGTACAATACATATGCAAAAGATACAAAATACTAAAGCTTTAATTTGTAAACACCTTCTTGAAACCTCCTCCCAATTTCACATACACTGTATATAAATCAAAAAGGAAAGAAATTGAGAAGTAATTCACAAGTATAGTCTGTGAACATATTTTTATTAGTAGACCAAGATAAAATATATGTTATAGGTACAGTATATAGTCTTGGTTCACTAATAAAACTATTGTATGTTTTATCATTCTTAAATGACTATATTCCTGAAATGTTTTCTTAATTTCCTCTCTTTTGAAGTTGGTATTGCTGTCTATGATTTCACTAGGTAGATTTGCCCTCTCTGTTTGTCATGTAATTGTTGTCATCAAAACAAAAAATGATGGTAACAACAGGTTAATTACCCACACCAATGTTACTCTCTCTAGTTGTAGACATATCCTAATAGTTGTTTGGCAGCAACAGTTAGGATATGCATACAGCTTGAAGAGAGTAAACTGATGGCATCATTAATGTGCTGCTTCACCTCCTTCCATAGACAAGTCTATTCAGTTCAACCAAACAAAAAAAAAAGTTGTAATCCTATACCTACAGTTGATCCAGAGGAAGGCAAAAAAACCCAGCAAAGCATTATCCAATTTGCTCCTGCAGGTGAAAAAAGTCCTTCCTGATCTCCCGAGAGGCAAGCGGATATTCCCTGGATCAACTTTATTTATAAATGTTAGCATCTAGTTATACTATGTGTATCTAGGAAAGACCTAGACTTTTTTTTTTTTTTAAAGCAATCCATTGAGCTGGCCAGAACCAACTCTTGAGGGAGTCTATTCCACATTTTCACAGCTCCTACTGTGAAGAAACCTTTCCATATTTGGAGATTAAATCTATTTTCCTCCAGATGTAAAGAGTGCCTTCTTTTCCTCTGTGATGACCTCCGGGTGAATAAATCTACACCAAGTTCACTATATGAACCATTTATGTATTTATACATGTTGATCATATCCTCCCTAATCTGCCCTTTTCAAGTGAGAATACATTCAGTTCCTGTAATCTTTCCTCGTAGCTGAGCTCCTCCATGCCTCGTGCTTCGTATCAGTTTGGTTGCTCTTCTCTCCAGTTCCCCAATGTTCTTTTTGTGAATTGGTGCCAAAAACTGAACTGCATATTCCAGATGAGGTTTTGCTAATGACTTGTACTGGGGTAAAATATTATCTCTGTCTCTGGAGTCTATACCTCTTTTAATACAAGAGAGGATTTTGCTCACTTTAAAAACCGTAGCTTGGCAGTGAATTCCACTATTAAATTTATGATCTACTAGAATCCTCCTTCACCATTGAGTCCCCCAGTTGTACCCCCCCTAGTATGTATGATGCATGCATATTCTTAGCCCCCAAGTGCATAGCCTTACATTTATCAACATTAAACCTCATTTACCACATAGTTGCCCAATTAAACAGTGCATTGAGGTCAGCTTGTAAGTTGAAGACATCCTGTAAGGACGTTATTCCACTGTAAAGCTTGGTGTAATCTGCAAAGAGAAGTTTATTCACAGCTAATTTGGTGACCAAGAAGTATAAAACTAAAGGCAAAACATTTTTCATTTTGGATAGAGTAAGAGGGATATAACCTCTGCCAGGATATTTTTTGCCATCTGTTTCTCATTGGGAAGGTTTCTCTTCTTGTCCCTAAACAGGAAGTGAGAGGGGATTCCCTAGTTGTCACCACAATCACCAGAACCCAACCCAATTGGAAGATTTGACCTTTTTTTTTTTTCTAACTGCTATCTCGCCACCCTATAGCAGATATACTGCTACTGGGCAGCAGGGGTGCGCAAAATCACGTATATATTTTGTATTTCTGGGTAGGGGGCGCACACCACCATTCGAGGCCACGGATGTCAATCACCGGGTTCCGGCCGGTGATTACCCGCTGGCACCTGGAGATTACCAGGCATCTCCGAAGGGGAGGAGGACTGTTTTGTTTACTAACAGTCCTCCTCCCTGTCAGCTCGGGCACACTGTAGTGGATGGCTGTACACAGCACAGCCATCCAAAGCTGTGTGCTTACAGTGAAGCACACTGACACGGCCCCCTAGTAAAACACTCCCTGCACACAGTTAACTCTTTGATCACCCCTCATGTTAACCCCTTCCTGCCCAGTGCCATTAATACAGTGTCAGTGCTTTTTTTTAGCACTGATCACTGTATTGGTAATCACTGGGGATGTCAGTGACACCAAGTCAGTTCCTCCCAGTGTCAGAATGTTCGCTGCAGTCCCGCTATAAGTTGCTGATCGCTGCCATTACTAGTGAAAAAAAATTTACAGTATCTATACCGCCATTTGGAAATGGTATAACTTTCACGCAAACCAATTAATTTACACGTATTAGGATTTTTTAGCAAAGACATGTAGCAGAATACATTTTGGCCTAAATTTATGATGAAATTAGATTTTTTTAAAAACATTTTTACTGGACATGTTTAATAGCAAGAGTCAAAAATATTGTTTTTTTCTCAAAATTGTTGGTCTTTTTTTTTAAGCACAAAAATAAAAACTGCACAGGTGATAAAATGCCACTGAAAGAAAGCTCAATTCATGGGAAAAAAGGAAGTAAATTTCATTTGGGTGCAGCATTGCATGACTGCGCAATCATCAGCTAAAGTAACACAGCACAGTAATGCAAAAAATGGCCTGGTCAGGAAGGGGGGTAAATCCTCAGGAGGGCAAGTGGTTAATTTTCATTTTCAGGTTTAGGTATTGTACTGTAATTCCTCTCTGCTATATCCACACAAAAAGAGGTTGACTTTAGATATACTTTAACCGCCTCCCACCCACCATATAAGAAAATGACGGGCGCAAGGCGGTTCCCTCGTTCCAGGAGCCCGCAGCACGGCGATTGGTGGTGTGCTGTGTCCCTCGGACACAGCGGATCACCAATCAACGGAAAGAGCCGAAGATGTCAGCTCAGTCATGTGATCAGTCATGTGTCCAATCACAGCTGATCGCATGTAAATAGGGAAATGCCGGTTATCAGCATTTCTCTCCTCACGAGCTGTCACGCTGACAGCTCAAGAGGAAAGGAGGGGATATATTGATGATCAGTGTGCCCTGATGATCAGTGTAGCCCCAGCAGTGCCACCTGTCAGTGTCCATCAATGCCAGCTGTCAGTGCTCATCAGTGCCACCTGCCAGTGCTTATCAGTGCCACATCAATGCCACATATCAGTGCCTACCAGTGCACATCAATGCCACATATCAGTGCCCATCTGAGCTGCCTTTCAGTGCCACCTATCAATGCCAGTCAGTGCCACCTATCAGTGCTTCCAATCAGTGCCACCTATCAGTGCCAGTCAGTGTCGTCTATTAGTGCCTGTCAGTGTTGCCTATCACTGCCACCTAAAAGTGCCAGTCAGTACCACCTAACAGTGCCAGTCAGTGCTGCCTATCAGTGCCAGTCAGTGCTGCCTATCAGCACCACCTCTCAGTGCAGTCTATCAGTGACATCTATGAGTGCTGCCTTTCAGTGCCCATCAGTGATGCCTGTCAATGCCCATCAGTTCCGCCTACCAGTGCCTCCGCATCAGTGCCCATCAGTGCCACCTATCAGTGCCCATCAGTGCAGCCTATCAGTGCACATCACTGCAGCCTCGTTAGCGCACATCAGTGAAGGAGAAAAATCACTTATTTACAAAGTTTTAAAACAAAAACTAAGAGAAAACTTTTGTTTTTAAATTTTCAGTTGTTTTTGGTTTGTTTGGCAAAAAACAAAAAAGAGGCGATTAAATACCACCAAAAGAAAGCTCTATATGTCTTTTAAAAATTCCTTATGGGTACAATGTTGCATGACCGCGCAATTGGCATTCAAAGTTCGACAGACCTAAAAGCTGAAAATTAGCCTGGGCAGGAAGGGGGTAAAAGTGCCCAGTAGGCAAGTGGTTAAATACAGAAGACAAAAGTGTAGTCCTGGCTACGTTAGTGGATTGGGGTGCCACACAGCTTAACAAAGTCTTTAACCCAGTTCATGTATTTCAGCTGTATATTTAACTTTGTACCTGGAGATTTTTGTGGTGCTTTGAGCTTTTATGACCAGCCCTTAGTGGTTGTTACTACTGACTATCCAGTCACCATTCACTTCCCTGCAGCTGAAATGATTTTTAACAATAAAAGATTGCTCCTGCTAAACTTATTGCTGACATCTTCAGAGCAGCAAACAAACTTATTGACTTTATATGAAGAGCTACCAAACTAAATAACAGCTCGTTCTTGTAAATTCCCCACACTGAACTTTAAGAAATTAAAAATAGGCTAAATGGCATTATCGATCTCCATTGCCACGAATACCGATAAAAAGTTAAATTTAAAACTTAAAATTAAAATGTAATCTTCATGGATACAAAATACACAGCCTAGTGAAGTGCTTTTGTAAATCTAACTGAAGCCCTTTGCCCAGTATTTCTTTGTTCACTTCCTACCTGTGCTCCCCTCCTCTCATGATTCTCTCTAAACCTCCTTTTATAACATTTCGTCATTCTTCCACATTCCTCTGCTGGTGAGACTATATGGTTGTTCAGGCCCTGCTGCAAACATATAGGGGTTCAAATACTGACAAGTCATAATAGGCACAAAACCTTACAATTATTACAGTGTAACATGATTACTGTTAACAATATGTAATGTGTGTGGCCTTAAGCACTTGTCCTGCTGAGGATTTACCCCCCTTCCTGACCAGGCCATTTTTTGCATCAAGGTGCTGCGTTACTTTAACTGGTTCCCGCCCAGCCTATGGCCGAATGGCGGCCGGCAAAAACCCTCACCTTTCCCGGGTGGACGCCATATGCCGTCCCTTCGCACATGCGCAGGTTGCGCGCCTGCAGAGCCACGCAGCGGCGCGATCTGTCACTGGCCGAGCACCTCGGACACGGCCGATGACTGATCTGAGTACCGGCCCCGTTGCCGGTACCATGTGACCTGCTGTGACCAATCACAGCAGGTCACATGACATTTGTATACAATGGATGGCTTAATTCATGCCATCCATTATATACTAGTGTGTCTAGCTGTAAATGGTCACAGCGATCACATGCACGAGCTGGGCCAACCACAGCCCAGCTGTGTCATGTGATTAGCTGTGGCCAAATCACAGCTAAGCACAAAAAAAAAAAAAAAACCCTGAATGAATCAATGTCATTCAGGTAAATGCTTGCTTATAGCAAAGTAATTCTTTGCTATAAGCAAACTGTGTAAAAAAAAAAATACTGATCACTTCCCCAAAGTAGTATAATGTTACTATGGTAACATTGTACTACTTTGGTCATAGTGAAATCTGAAAAAAAAAAAAAAAGAAAAAAGTAATTAAAAATTAAAAATAATAAAAAAAAATATTTTTTTTTTCATACTGTCACCAGTCAGTGTGCCTGATCACCGCCATGCCAGTTATATGATGACGCTGTACTGCACTGGTGACAGTATGTAAAAAAAAATAGTGAAAATAATTTTTTAATTTTCTGAAAAATTATGACAAAAAAAACAACTTCAAAAAACTCGCCATTCCTCTTATGAAGTACGCCGGACTGTCTACTTTGCAAAAAGGGGTCATTTGCAGGATATCTGTACTGTTCTGACATTCTTGGACCTCAAGAAATTAGATTGGCTGTCAGTACTTCAGGATTGATCAATATTCAGATCTATACCATAGTTTGTGAACTCTATAACTTTCCTACAAACTAAATAATACATCCTAATTTGGGTTATTTTCACCAAAGAAATGTAGCAGAATACATCTTGGCCTAAATTTATGAAGAACAATTATTTATTTACAAACTGTTATAACAGAAACAAAGAAAAACGTGTGTTTTTTTTCAAACTTTTCAGTCTTTTTTTGTTAATTTCGCAAAAAATTAAAAACCCCAGCGATGATTAAATACCACCAAAAGAAAGCTCTAGTTGTGTGAAGAAAATGATAAAATTTTAGTTTGGGTACAATGTTGTATGACTGCGCAATTGTCATTCAAAGTGTGAGAGCGCTGAAACCTGAAAAATGGCCTGGGCAGAAAGGGGGTAAAAGTGCCATGTATTGAAGTGGTTAACTGACAATTGTGCGGTCATGCAACACTGCACCCAAATTAAATTTACGTCCTTTTTCCCCACAAATTGAACTTTCTTTTGGTGGTATTTGATTGCATGTGTGTTTTAAATTTTTTGCGCTATAAAAAAAAAGATTGACAATTTTTTGAGAAAAAAACAATAGTTTTGACTTTTTGCTATTAAACATGTCCTGTAAAAATTTTTAAAAAATTAAATTTCATCATAAATTTACGCCAAAATACGTGTAAATGAATTGGTTTACGTGAAAGCTATAGCATTTACAAATGGCGGTATATATGCTGAGATTTTTTCTTTTCTACTAGAAATGGCGGCAATCAGTGACTTATAGCAGGACTGCAGGACTGCGGTGGGAATTCTGACACTGGGGGGGGAACTGACTTGGTGTCACTGACATCCCCAGTGACACCAATACAGTGATCAGTGCCAATAAAAAGCACTGATGCTGGAAGGGATTAACATGAGCGGTGATCAAAGGGTTAACCGTGTGCTGGGTGTGTCTTACTATGGGGCGGTGTGTTTGTGCTTTACTATAATCACACTGCTTTGCATGCCTGTGCTGCGCAGGAGTTAACAGGCAGGAGAACTGTTTTGTTTATAAACAGCTGTCCTCCCCGTCAGAGATGCTTGTTAATCATATGTATATATATATATATATATATATGTGATTTTACGCACACGTGCCGCCACCCTGTATCGGTATATCTGGGCGGTTAATTAATCACTGTGTAAATCAAAAAAATGCAGTGTAGTACTATAAACTCAAATACGGTGCTACTAATATCCAACGTGCATAAACGAATAGTGAAAACAAAAATTGTGCTTAGTGACAATAATATGTGCTACATCAAATATATATCAACACATACATATAAATACCCATAGAACTGCATATATCAGTGCAAAATGAATAGTGTACACAAATGTCAAATGAATCGTTCTAAATAGTGAACTGTCCCTTTAACACATCTCCCATTGTAATGTACAGCGCTGAGCGAACTATTGGCGCTATATAAATACTGTATAATAATAATAACACTCCAATATCTTTACATGTGCTTGTGCAGTATATCTCCTGTGCATCGTTATCCAAATATACCATCAATAAGTATCCCAAAATTATAGTCTCAAAATAATGGTGAACCGTCCCTTTAAATCCGCTGTACTCCAGGTGGCTCTGTGTGATCACGCTACTGTATACACATGTATGGTGCTCCTGTGTCACCTCTTAGTGCTCATCCCCCTCTGACACACTATTGCACTCACCTTCAAGTTTCACCCATAATACCAGGTCAAACTACGCTTTTCCCTTTAACCCGGGAGGGTATAATGGTACCAAGATCTTCACCACCATCAGCACTTAAAATCTCCAAAACGCTCCACAAACATATGGAAAAAATGCTCCATATAATGAAGTATTGCCAAATAAAACTGACTTTATTAAAAAAATAATCCAATACACTCACATTTAAAAGTGTCACTATACTGTGTAACTGTAGAATAAAGTGCATTAATCCATTATCCAAAATGATGGCACATGCACTTTCTGCTCTGCGGCTTGACGTCATCGGCGTACCCTACGCGTTACGTCACGTGACTTCACCAGCCGTGTCTTGTTTATCTTTTCATGAACTTTTACTACTTGCGGTTTATTCGCACTGTACTGTTTTTTGTTCATTTGAAAACAAAAATTAGAACATTTAGGAGGCCACAGAGGACACAGCAATGTAAAACTGGCCAGCAGCAGGACAATTTTAGATAGCAAGGTTGAGTTCAAATTAACATGAAAAAGAGGACAGGCTTGGGTTTTACCACAAATAATAGGATGCACAAAGTATATAACAGTTGGCCAGCAGCAGGATAGTCTGAGCCTGGGTTCACATATGTGCGGTGCGGTATATCCCATGTGATTCACACAGGAACCGCACTCCTGTGCAAATCACATGCGATTTGTGTGCGATGCGATTGGAGCCATACTCTTTTTTGGTCCGCACTAGAATCGGATCACATAGGTATTCACACCTATGTGATCCGATTCTGCACATCACATCGCGTTTTGCGGACCACTTTTGGGGTGTTGTTAACTTAACATACACACCTGCAGCGGTTCACATGAATGGGGTGTAATTCTGATGCGGTGCGGAATTTGCACTGAAACGCTGCGAATTCCACACGGCATCAGTGTGAACCAGGGCTGAATCATGGATAATAGACCTAACTGTATGCCTGTCTTTAATTTTAGCTCTGGGGATGGGGGGCATTCAGGCAGGAAGATTTATTGTGAGGTGGTTTAGGTGCACACTGTTTATGCACTTAGTTTTTATTTTTCTTTCAAATAATGCAGTAGCTTTCCACTATGTTTGTTCTTTGCCCTCTCCCTTTTAAAGTGAGGGGGTTGGCTTACCCAAAGCCCATTCTATTGGCCCTTTTAAGCCAGAGTTTAAAAGCCATGCAGTGCATTGTTGTTTAAAAAATAAATTCTCCCAGGCAATTATGCATATAAATTTGCTGCGGTCATGAATCTTGAGCCTACAGAATTCACCTGAAACCCATGATAACAGCAAACCCAAATTTCATCCCTATTTAGGACTGGAAAAATAGCTACAACCATATGCAACAGGGGTATACTTTTTTTTACAATTAAAATCAAATTGCGGTAGTAGATGATTATCTCTCAAAACAAGAACTTCTTTTGGGGGTATTTTTTCCTAGACCCCTTATAAATGGTTCACATTACTTTTTTGTTTTTTTTACTGAGTGCTAGAAGCTTGAATGTGTTGAATAGATAGTCCCAAATGGGGTGCTACAATTAAAAGTACTCTTTCTACAGAAACGCATTTAAGGAGTTACATTCCCCAACTTTGAAATCTAAATGCTTACACTTCCACCTGGCTGTACTAGGGTCGCTGGTTCGAATCCCAGCCACGGCACCACCTGCCTGGAGTTTGCATGTTCTCCCTATGCCTGTGGTTTCCTCCCATACTTCAAAGACGATATGTGTACGCCCCTTGAGGGTTAAGGACTGATGTAAATGTACAATATATGTGTAAAGAGCTGCGTAAATTGTGCTATATAAGTACCTGTTATAAAATAATAATAAAAAAATCCAAGCCTTTTTGTCTCCCCATTATATGTCTCTCTACCAATCCCCCTCCTGCAGGAGTTGTATAATATAGGGTATACTCATAGCTCATGGATCACATATGAAAAAAAGAAGTCAACAGCTACAACTTGACTTATCCGTGAGATTCATATTCTAGAACACTCTCATAAGGTAACCTTAGATAGTGCTGTATCCCAGCCAGAAATGTACTGAGCTCTTAAAATTATTCAATCAAGGTTCCTTAAGACATGGGGAGATTCTCATTTAACTCTTCTATGAACAAGGGGATAATTGTGGGAAGGCCCTGGCCCGATCTCTCAGAGCTAAATACACTTGTACTTATATCCCTAAAGTTAGAGCCCCAAAACAGCAATTAGTAAATAAATCTGACCAAATGGCTCAAGCCTTCCATGCTTATTATTTTAACATATATAACATACAGTGCTCAGCATAAATGAGTACAGCCTTTTTGAAAAGTAAGATTTTAATCGGTAACTCAATGAACACAAGAACAGTTTCCAAAATTTTGACAAAACTGAGTTTTATAGAACATTTGTTTAGCTCATTACATGAAAGTAAGGGTAATAATATAACTTGCATTACAAAATCTTCAGTTTTACTCAAATTAGTTGATGCAAAAATGAATACACCCCTAAACAAAAACTACTACATCTAATATTTTGTATGACCTCCATGATTTGCAAGTCTTCTAGGCATGGAATGAACAAGTCGGCAACATATTGCAACATTAATCTTTTTCCATTCTTCAAGAATGACCTCTTTTAGAGCCTGGATGCTTGATGGAGAGTGATGCTCAACTTGTTTTTTCAGAATTCCCCATAGGTGTTCGATCGGGTTCAGATCAGAAGACATACTTGGCCACTGAATTACTTTCACCCTGTTCTTCATCAGAAATGCAACAGCGGCCTTAGATGTTTGTTTTGGATCATTGTCATGTTGGAAAAGTGCACAACATCCAAAGGCGGTAGCATCTTCTTTTTCAATACAGAGCAGTACATCTGTGAATTCATGATACCATCAATGAAATGCAGCTCCTCGACTCCAGCAGCACTCATTACGCCCCACAAAGGGACACTGCCACTACCATGTTTCACTGTAGGTACCATGCCTTTTTCTTTGTACTCTTCACCTTTGCGATGCCATACAGTTTTGAAGCCATCAGTTCCAAAAACATTTATCTTGGTCTCATCACTCCAGAGTACAAAGTCCCAGTAGTCTTTTTCTTTTTCAGCATGGGCACTGGAAAATTCTAGGTGGGCTATGCGTGCATGGGCTTTAGGAGAGGCTTCCTTTTCGGATGACACCCATGCATGCCATTTCTCTGCACTGTACGCCGTATTGTGTCTTGGAAAACAATCACCCCAGTTTGGCTTTTTACTTCTTTAGCTAACTGTGGTGAACTTCCATGGTGATTTTCTTCAATCTTTCTAATCAGAAGATGCACATGTTGAGGTGTTAATTTCCATGGACGACCCGGATGTCTCTGTGAGATGGTTGCAGTTCCATCTCTGTTTACTTTTTATATCACTTTTGCTACAGTATTCTGACTGATGAGTAAAGCTTTGCTGATCTTCTTGTAGCCTTCACCTTTTTTCTGTAAAGACATTATATTTTTTCTCAGGCCTTGTGACATTTCTCTTCCATGTGGTACCATTGCTGACAGCATGAAATGGGAAGGGGTTTTCTTTGTTAAGTAATGCCTTTTTATAATCAACTGTTTGCTGAACACCTGTTTAATGAATAATTAGACTCACCTGTAGTTAAATTCTTGTTAATTAGGATTTTTGGCTACAATCACCTCAAGCGATTTTTTGGTCTAAAATTTAGTTTTGCCTCTAAAACTTTCATTGGGGTGTATTCATTTTTGCAACATGGTCTTGAAGGATTTTGTCAGGAAAAATACTTTTGTGTGTGTGAAAATTAACAAATCTGGTTTGCAATCAATTGCCCACATTTGTGGGAGTATTTTGCAGTATAGTGTCCCATAGAAAATGTTGATTCTGAAAGGAAAGTAAAAGTTTTCTGGGGTCTACTCATTTATGCTGAGCACTGTATGTCAACGAGACTCCTGGTCCTCACCCACAATTATTGGCCTAGACCTTGCTTATATTGTGGACACTGTCCTTCCCACTTTAGACCTTTTGTTGCAAAAAGCCAAGGTATTAAGGCCTTGCTCTTTGGCAAGAGCTCAGGCCTGGATGGCTATACTAGTATATTTTAAAAACCTTTACCTCAGCCCT